GAAGGGGCCGCGCCGCCGCGCGCCGCGGCTGCCGCGGCGGCGCGGCAGCTACGCGAGCGTGAGGCTGCCGCGACGGCGCTACAGCAGGAGCTGGCCGCGGCCGAGGCGCGCGCGCGCGGCGCGGAAGCGGAGCTGCAGCTCTACGGCGCGTAAGTTGGCAACCGCGCGCCGCAGGGCGTGCGCGGAGCGGCCCGAGTCGAGTGCGCTGCAGCGCTCGCTCGGCGCTCTCTCGCTGGAAACGCAGACGCGCGCGTTCTTGTTCCTGAGTGAGTCGATTCGCGCGCTGAAGAAGGAGAACGCGCGGCTCAAGGCGGTCGCTAGCGAGCTGCGCCGCGAAATGGTCGCGGCCGACGGCCGCAGCCAGCCGCGCTCGCCGGCCTCCGCGGCAGTCCTCGTGCAGCGCAAGCGCAAGCTGCGCAAGCTGGTCTAGCGCGCAGCGAAAGCGCACACAGGTGTGCGGTGCGCAAGCAGTGCGCCGTGTCGCGCTGCTCGCGGTCTCTGCGGCGCTGCAGATACACCGCGTAGAGGTACATGGCGAGCGTCGCGCCGGTGACCAGGCTCACGAAGCTGGAGATGGCGTTGCTGACGCTGTGCAACACGTTGCCGAAAAAGTCGCTCTGCGGCGGAATCGAGCGCAGGAAAATCACCTCGCGCTGCGGGACATGGTCGAAGATGCGCGGGTCCAGGTGCTTCAGCCGCTTCAACTGGCACATGCGCGGCATTTGGCGGCTTTTTCTAAATGCAAAAAATGGTGGCCTCACATCTGCCTGTGTCGGGCGCGAACTTACTGCAACGCGAGCTGCCGCAGCTCGTGTGCGCTCATTGCTGACACCACCACGGTCTGCGTGCGGCGCGGCAGCACTTACGTCTTGGCAGGCGGCATCTTCCGGCGGCGCGCAGTGTATCTCGGCGGCGTGCGCGAGCCGGGTCCAGTCGAACGGGCACTGCGCCGCGTCCGGCACGCAGTCGGGCTGCGCGGCCCAGGAGACGCCGAGCGCGGCCTCCGCCGCGCGCTTCGCCTCGACCGAGTCGTTCACCGCGAGGCTGCTGATTGGGCCCTCGCGTTCGGCGACGCACAGACTGCGGCTCGCTTGCGCAAACCCGGTGGGGCACGCGGGGCTGCGTCGCGCGCGCGGGCACCTACCGATAGTCCTTGAAGACTGCGCGCCGCAGCTCGCGCCGCGGGCGTGCTTCCGCTTCCGGCGCCGTGAAGTCCGCGGGCGCCAGCTGCACTTCGGGCAGCGCAGCGACCTGCGGCGGTGCGACGCGCACCTACCTGTTGCTGCGGCTTCAGCAGCGCGAGACTCGCTTTCTGGAAGCGCGCGCTCACCGCCTCCGTCTCGACTTCCGCCGGTGCGGCGAGCGCGAGCGCGGCGGCGAGCAGCGCGACGCTAAATACACTCATTTGGAGGAGACGCTGCCGCGCGCTTTTCGCGGCGCTTTTCGCGGCGCTTTTCGCGGCGCTTTTCGCGGCGCTCGCGGCACGCGCTCTGCGGCGCATGCGCGGCGCGCAATTCTTTCTACGTGCAGCATGGCAGAACGGAAAGTCGAGGTTACCCGGCGCGAGCCCGTGAAGGCCAACAAGAACGCCGAAGGCGTCTGCGTCAGTCGCAGCAACACCGTGGAGTTCCCGCGCGATTTCGCGGAGCGTATCGAGGAGCACGCGAAGCCGCCGAGCGACGCCGAGCCGGAGCACCAGCCGAGCAGCGCTAGCCGAGCAGGCGCTTGAGCGTCGCGTGCTTCGCGAGCTGTCCGCAGCCGACGAAGCTCGTCCCTGCGCCGGCGCGCGCAAGTGAGACGCAGCTCTCGCAGATCGCCGCCGCGCTCGGCAGCGCGCGGTAGCCGCAGCCAAGCGTCGGATGGCTGCAGGGGCAGTCAACGCAGAAGCGCAGCACCTCGACGTTCGCCGCCTGGCACCCCGTCTGGTGCGCCGCGCAGCACAGCCCGCACTTCGCGGTCGTGCAAGAGGCTGCGTGCCGCCGTCGCGCACTTACCCGAGACGAAGACGTTCGCGATCAAAATATAAAATTTAAAAATCGGCTTTTTATGGCAAGCGCTCCGCCGGCGGCCGCGCTCGCCGCGACTCCCGCGGCGCCCGCGGTCGACGAGTTCGCGCTCTCCTTCGAACGAGACTGCAAACTCACCAGCTACGTCGTCAACGCGCGCGCGCTGGTTGTCTTCTCCGAAGTCGCTGGCCTGCTTGACGCCGCGCGCGCGCGCAAGAACCGCTGCTGCAACCACATCAACGTGAAGGTGGTCGCCGACTGCGTCGCGCTCGCCGGGCACCTCGCGCGCGTCGAGCGCGTCGAGTTTCTCTTCTCCGAGCGCGCACACGTGCTCGCGATCAGCGACGGGCAAAGCGTCGTGTTCTTCCACCACGCGCGCAAAGTGCTCGGCGCGTGCGCGCTGAGCGCGCTCCACGGCGCGCAGCCCGGCGCGCCGCTCGCGCGCTGCGTCGCGCACAGCAGCCTCATCTGGGTCGACGCCGGACTCGTGCACGTGCTGACGCTCGACTCGGAGCTCTCCCTGCGCACCTTCGACTGCCTCTTCTCGCGCGACAGCGCGCTCGCGCCGCTCGCGCGCCGAGATGGCGCGCGCTCGTTGCTGATCACGCAGCGCGAGCCGCCGCAACTGCGAATCTGCGCGGCTGACGGCGCGGTCTTCGCCGTCGACTGCGACCCTGACTCCGTAGACGTGCTCGCGCCGCAGTTGCTGCTTTCTGCGAGCTGCGAGCAACTCGCGTACACCGCGACGAACGTCGACGTCTACTACGTCCCGCAGGCGCTCGCGCAGGGCGTGCTCTACTGCACCGTGCAGGGCCTCTGCTTCAACGAGCTGCTCGTCGCAGACTTCTGCCCCGACGCAGAGTGCGACGCGTTGCGCTGCGCCGGCAGCTGGCGCCGGCAGCTGCTCTGCGCCGAGAAAGAGGCGTACTTCGGCGCAGACTCGCTCGCGGACGCCATCGCCGACGCGCTCGCCGCCGCGCCCCCCGCCGACGACTTGCATGCGGGCCGGCTGCGCGAGAGCTGCGCCGCCGCGCCCGCCGCGCGCCCCGCGCTCGCCGCGTTCCTCGAGCAGGCCTTCGGCGCGCCGGACGCGCGCGCGCTCGCGCTCGCGCTCGCGCGGCTGCCGCCCGCGCCGGACGCCGCGCTCGTCGGCACGCT